TGGAACGTTCTCAACAGTTCCAGAGGGTATTCATTGAAAAAAAAATCTGCATCCTGGCATCAGGACGCATTGTCTCCAACGTGTTAATGTTGGTTCTCTGGGAACGACTGGAAAGGGAGGCTTGAGTAGTGCAAATCTAAGAACGCATGAAAAGAATTGGAGGTTCGGTGTGTCAAGTTCATTCTCGGAGTGACCAAGGACTACGATGTAGGCTTCGAGACGCTGTCAGAATACTTTCTCTGCTCTAGTTTTGTTATATAATTCTCCTAACGTAGTTTTATTATAAGTAACTACAATTAGTAGCCATTCCATTAGTAGCTGTGAAGAATCACGTGTCGTAGCGCCTGGAAATATTCGGAAACGTTCCAATTTCGCTATTTCCTGTGCCTCGTGAAACTAAACCGGACGGGGAAAAAGTTTCGGCGCCGTAATTTTATATTCTCCCTCTCCGCGTCGATACGAATGCCATCATGATCTTGCGGACGCACTAGACTATCCTTAATATAGCATGGGACATTTTTTATCGAGTTTTTTACATTATATTATTCATGTTTCGTGCGGACGAATGAATAGCCTCAATGATTATTTCGTCGGACAATAGAAAAGAACATCACGAGAAGTTCTATCTTACTGGGAAGTGGAAACAGTACGAGCGTGTGAACATGTAATTTTCGTGCCATTGAGCCTGGTGATATCCTAGGAGACTTCTGCTAGGAGACGTGTAACGAATTATGTCTTAAGAGCATGACCCTGAAAATTCCCATGGATATATTGTGAAACTTTTCGAATCTGAACAGTAAGAAAATAAAACGGAATTGTTCGCTGGAAACGGTCTGCATTTGCAGGCAGCAAAAATGTCTCGCAAGTGTACCGCTGTAATGCGCTCGCAACTGGAGTATGAGCCTGTCAAGATTATTAAACACACTTTGAGAAGAAAATTTGCCGGTACAAACCGCGTTATCATAGAGTCTGAAGAACTTGGATACAAAAATGAGCGAGGGTGAGCATCCCATTTTATCGGTTTTCATTTCTTATGGAGAAAACAATGCGAAAACCTCGTATGGAGGTGACATAAATTCAGTCTTGGGCTTTTACATATACTTAAAAAGTGGACTATTTCTTTTTTTTCTCCTTTCATTTCTATTATATCAATTTTTCGTACCTCCATGACATATTTTAAATTTTCCCATGAAATAATGTGTTACAACCTGTAATAAATTATAATGATAAATTATGCAAATAGCATGTGAAATAAGTTTTATTGCAAGTATTTTGCAAACGGTCACATACCAAACCATTAAAAAAAACTAATTTTTGCCCTTGAAAGTTGCCATGTCCAAAGTGCTGTAACTTCTTCAATCATGAACGTCGCCAAAATGCATGCACATTCTGTCATTTGTGTATTTGCAATGCATCAGTTAATGTTTGCAGCATACGATCGAATTTCGAGGGTTCGGAGCCCTATTACAGCGTAACAGTTCGCAAAGGTCAAATGTGAACAGAAGGCTTTTGCAAGAGACCCAGATGAGTGTAGATATGCCTACGCCTGCCCGTACTTGAGGGAATTTCGGGTTTGTGACATCTCAAGAGACGATGGGATTAGGTAAAATAATTTACACGGTCATACGAAACGCACATTATTTTCTATCACGTAGAATAGGGCATATAAGAGAGAAATTTTTTCTAATCAATTTAAATCTCCCTTCGCCTTTGCATATTGCGAAAGTCCTATTTTTGGAACCATTCTAAAAAAATTGTATTCCAAGATATATAAATTACTTTGTTCCCCTTGAAAGAATAACAGAAATCGCGAAATATTTTTTCCTTTTGCATTGTATATGTTTGCTTGCTTGTCAGTGAATAAAGGTACCATGCCCTGAGGCTATAGGGAGTCAAGCCCCTCCAGACCCGTAGGGAGCTGTAGGGTCGGCGATTGTCTTTAGAGGGAAGCCGCAGCCCAGGAAGTCCCAATCCGGGGAATTCCGATCCCCTGGGAATAGCCATGAGGAAAGAACATCCGCTGAAGCTGGAAATTTCCTGGAGAGTGCGCCAAGTCGGGCCACCCACCGACCGGGCGCGTGGCGTTTCCCGTGTTCAGCCTCTCAAGGCATTGGTTGTTGCCCACCACCACCGCCCACATGTAGGAGAGAAATCCTTTCATTCACGAAAGGAAAACGGCCGTAGATTAATCCATTCTAAGAACACAAGTTTCTCTTTAATTATACCAAGGTTCATGGGACGTCCCAGGCATGCATCCCATGACCGTCCTGGAGAGAAGGCATTGGGATGTCTTGGGATCCTTGCTGAACACTTCCATGGGACTCGCAATTTGGAAAATATTGCATTTTTGAAGTGGTTTAGTGACTTATGGGACAACCTGTAGACCTGCTGAATCAGCCCCTCGGGGCACGTACATTCCAAATCGACCTTTTTTGTAGTACGCCATCCAAGAGCTATAATTTTCTCTAGCCGCTTCCTTTAACCCTAGAAGTGCCAGAAGCAGTACGGTAGCCTACCAACATCGAATTTATCGACGGTTGGATGGCACTTCTAGGGCTAATGAAGAAAGTGCATGAGAGTGGTCTTTTCCTACGCGTCTATCTGTGGGTTAGGTCTATGCCTACAATAGTCTCCCCTCATACCGAAATGTGCTCCCAAAGTTAAAATATTTCTGGAATTAACAATCTAGCAACTATTCGTATATCAAGTTCCAGCCTCTCATCATTTTTAGAACATGGTTATAATTAGCGTTACCCACTCACTTTCATATACAGGGTGTATCACGTCAGGAATCATAGGGATTTACGGCCTAGCCTATGACCCGGAAAGGCCCGATCTGAAGGGTAGTAGCAGAATAGTCGTACATGCCGACTTGACAACCGTCTCTGACTTGAGAAGAGCCCTTCCATTCATTCGTTGAAGCTACATTGCGCAGGATATCTGCACGGTTCCCCCATGTCTCATGTATCGGCTGCTCCTGGCGTAAGCTTTCCGAGTGCAATCCCTGTGTTCGACGCAGATTGGTACCAACGACACCCTACGTCATCCACGGATGCATGAAACCTTTGTATTATCAAGGAATCTCTCGCCATCTCTTGCTTCAATTTCTGAAGTCACGCGGTACCAGTGGAAAATATGTCAGGAGCCACTGAGGAAGATTTGGCCTCCATCGACAGCACCCGGTCAGAGCTGGTATATTGGGGTTTCACGAACGGCCGCATTAATTCCTTTGTTTTCTTCGACCATTAATGAATATTCTACGTGCTCGCACGGTATTTTCCGGTAATAAGGATTTCATCCGGGAAAACGGAACTCATAAAAACGCTTTCAGCTGAGAGTGAAAGTAGATGCGAATGCAACAAAGGAAACCCCCCCCCTTCTTCCACCCCTTCCACCCCTTCCCCCCCCCCTTCCCCTCTCTTCCTATCTCACGTTCAAAAGTGATGTCTGCGAAACCTGAATCAAACACTCCGCATTAAGGCCCATCTACAAGGCAGGGTTGAGATGTGCACCTGACCAGGTGCGCACGTATCACATATTCTCAACTATGCTGTATTCAGCGTCATGCATGCTGGAAAGATCGGTTTATCCTGTATATATAAAAAAAAAAACGTGAACGGAAACCATGGAAAACCAACGTAATCTTCGCGAGTCGGCATAACGAATTTATTCCCAAGCCAAAAAAAATGCGATCGGAAGAATGTGCATCGCAATCTCAGACGGAGTACTCGAAATACAGATAATCAGCAGAAATCCTGTGCTTCACTCTTTGTGACACATTCAACACCTTCATGACAACAATCTGAACGGCGATAAGTGAAGACAAAACCGCATGAATTCTTGAGTTCTTTACTGAGGAAATCGAAAAGGAAGGACCCAGCGTGAGTTGGATTCCAAGATGGAAAGGCAGTAAAGAACCCGAGAAACGGGAGCGAGGAACCTCACACAGGTGGCCTGCACCACAGGGCATCCTGGGTGTTGGGCAGGATGAAGCTGCTCAAGTAATCTGCAAGGGAAGGGATCCGTCAGCGGGAAAGGCTTTCGCGGGGGGCATTTACGGGTCTCGCTTTGCACCGACTTGCTGTTTTGGCGTAAGCAGAGCCCTCGGACTTGCGGCAATTGCTGGACGAGCTGATGCCGACGTTCTGGTAATATCCTCGTACGTTCCGGTACATCAAGGGTCCTCCAGAATCCCCCTAGAAGCAGGATTAAGCTCATAATGAATCCCACGTGGCTCCCTTTTCCTTAATAGTCGTCGTGACTTACGTTGCAGATGTTACTTCGCGACGACCGTGCACAAAAGAAGTTGCTGTAATTCACGGCTGGAGCGTTCTTTCGGCAATATAAAGAACTCACCACCTGCGTCGTTGCCTCCAGCATCTTCGCCGATGTTTCTATAACAAATTCACGGATTTCACAGTTTCACAATGATTGTCAAATAACACGATGCAAACATGTACTCCTTGTATTTTTCGGGACATCGTTTCCGCACCTCTACTGGAATCCCCTTCATCCTCTTCCACAAAATAATTGATATTGGCATTTCAGAAAGTGTTGTAAATGAGGTCATGTAAAAGTGAAATCACAATCGCAAATTCGTTGTAGCAAATCGGATGAGATGGGACCCCCCCCCCCATCCCATCCGACCCGGGAACGATCGACTTACGTCCTTTCTCTTTCACTCTGCCCCAGCCGGCGATGACCACCGTGTCTCCGATGACGGGGCGGTCCCCCGATGGGAGACAGATCGGGCGGATGTGCGGGTAGGCCGCGAAGTTCACCGGAGTCAAAAGTCGCAGCAGGGCGATGTCGTTGTCCGTCGGCAAGTTCCCTTTAAATCGGTAATGATAGTGGACTAAGGCCGTGGCCGGAATCCGTATGGCCTGGGTTTCGTACGGCGTCGAGAAGTCCAAGTCTCCCAAGGTCACGTAGTATGTTATACTGACGCTGAATCGACGAGAGAGGAAAAAGTTCATATCAGACGACGTCGAGGTCGAAAAAGTAGCCAATAAGAAAAAGGGGTGAACCTCACTCCGGATAGATGCAATGGGATGCGGTGAGAACATATCGATCGTTGATGAGGGAGCCACCACAGGTGAACTGATTGGGACTGCTTCTCAGATATACCATCCAGGGATACTTCGTCTGGCTGGGGACGGTGTTTCCTCCGACGATTCGATCCACGTCCAACTCCGTGGTATTCCCTGGGGGGTCCACGGATCTTTTGCCCAGGTCTTGCGAGACCCCGCAGTCTGAAGCGAGAGAGGGTGGTGCATTCCGTGAAGGAACGAGATGTGGTCCATCCCTAAAGATGTGGTGAATGCCAACTTACAGCAATCGGTGTAGCTGATCCTCGAATCTGAAAGGGAAGAAGGCAAAAGTGACGAGATGGGAGGGGAAGCTCATCGTCGACGTCCCGACTTCTCAAAATGTACGTGGTAATCGAGGGAAGGACTTCTCGTGTCGGTCTCAGAATTCACTTAAAGGAATCGATTAAATTAGAGACATAGGGCTAACCTGGAAAACCCAGGGAAAAAGTTCTTGCTTCGGTGTTTTCCTCTTCATGCCGATCCCGACCCTAGACAGGCAAAAACCACACTTTGCAGACTTCGACTCTTCGCTGACCCGCTAAGAGAAATTCTCCATCGTGGGTTTGTGTCTTTTCGAGCGAAAATCTCGATGGTTAGAAATTGCCACAGAGACAGATGCACTAGCTCTAACAAAATTATTTCCAGGATGCCATTTTAAATTTTCAGAATGAACGATGAAGAGGCCACATAGATATCTGAACATGATCTAACAAATATTCCAAGTATAAAAGGGGCAACAAAAGGTAGCAGTACGCGAAAAGCAAACTATAACCTGAGCAAAAGGGCAGAGGACGAGCAGGAGGGAGAAAAGAGTGATGGCACGAGTACCAATTCTCTGTTTCCTCTGCAGCTCTAATGAGAGGTTCGTGCGGGGCGCACCGTATTTATACCATGCGTATCGGGAGCAGCCGTTCTTTTACTCCATACTCTCAAATGCCAAAGGTGAATAATCCCATGAAGCCCAGATGCGTTGAATTCGCCAGAGCAAAGTGACGTCCCCTCCCTGTCCCGGTCCCAGTCTCTGATATGCTTGAATGAGGCAGATGTGATGGGATTGACTTTTTCTTTTTTAGTTACTCGTCATTACTTGCGTTCGTTGTCCCTTTGGGAATTTCGTTGCATCTCCAGTGGATTCGCGTTCCTATATTCGAGGAAGGGCAAGCATATCGCAAACTTCAATTTCCAGGCTTTATCAGGAAAAGGTTTCTTCATATGTAGGTCTGCTGGAATCCGAGCATGGTCTCTAAGCATAGTAAGCAACCCCCCTCGTCATCCGATTCCTGGGAGTTCGCACGATTCAAATGATGTGTCTCATTTGAGAGCTATCGGACGGAAGTCGATTCGCCTCGATTAGGAGAACGGTAATATTTCATAAGTGAAGTAAATATAAATGCAGTCGGCCCAGCTTATTGCGAATAATGGTTATTCTCATTAGCCAGATTATGTAATCAAATCTCGGCAACAAACGAATATTCCCTTGTTGCGAGTACAGGAGCGTATTTCTCTTGTTAACGTTATCGTAGTCTCGAGATACTGGGATCACCTTAAGTTCGACTGAAGGGAGGAAAAGGAAGATATTGAGATTTCTGCTCCTCAACGCTTTCATTTCTATCCCACCCTTTTCCACCGAATGTCCTAATTTTTTTGTCTTGCCCCTAAACAGGCGTAGACCTTTTTTGTTTCTGCTATTCCGGTCGTTCCGGATCCCGCCGTTCACGCAAGGTGTCATTCCGTGTTGCTCTCCTCAAAAGTGGGGTGGGAGGCAGGAGGGAAACCGAATCCTTGAGGTCCAGTAACGAACTAAAAACCTCCCCTTCGGTTTTACTGCATTTGGCAACCCAGTTATCGTTGTTCCCGTTTCATCGAAGGAACAAAATAGAAGGAGAAGGAACAAAGTACAAACAAAGTATAAGCCAAAGCCCCCCAAATAAACGTGGTTCACTGTCGAATCACCGGTTTTCATCAACATCAATTCAACGGAAGTTCAACCATGGTTAGCATTGTACCACCATTGATTTTCCGTTGAACCCGATTCCACCGGTGACTCACCGTTGAGCCACCGCTGACGTTTTTGTACGGGAGCTCATAAAACCATCCTTACTACCCATTAGTGTCATCCAATTACCGATTCGTGGAAGATTCGATATCTATCGACAGAATTCCGCGCGCTATCGTTTTGTCACCATCTGCGCATTTCCCAAGATTTGTCGGAGGAAAAAGCAGGGAATTTCCACACGGCCTCGTGCATTATTGATCGGTGAGGGACAAATGCCCCGTCGTTCTTCACGCCATTCCCGCCATTTTTAATACAATTACGAGTCCCATCGATCATGACCGTCACAATAGAGCAAGGCGGAATGCAGGCGTAGAAGTGCAGTTGCGAAGTGACAGGTGTGTCATCATCGCATCGGAGTCGAAGTGAGTCGAGTCCACGGATACGTTTAACTGCAAGAGTGAGGCCAAAATTCCTCTCCGACGAAAAATCTTTGTAAATGCGTCAGCATCTTCTCGAGTGCTTCGAGTTCGGCCTCGCCAAAAACGTCCACGCTATCAGCCCTTACGGAAATGTCCTATAGGAAACCTTTAGCTATTTCTTATAGGAAACCTATAGACTTTCCTATAGGTTTTTGAAACACGAAAAACCTATAGGATCCTTTAGAATCCTATAGGATCCCTATAGGGTCTTATAGGTCTCCTGACCTATAGGA